CGGGCTGGATTCGAACCCGCCACCTTAGGTGTATGTGGCTGGCGCCTTAGCCGCTTGAGCCACAGGCGCCGAGCCCCAGATTTGTATTTTAAAAGGTCCTTCTGCAGTGTGGGCCTGAGTGGATTAGGATAGACCATTTAGGCTATTGCAATATTATAGGCAAGAATTGCTGGAGTGGGGGTGGAGGAGAAAGAGAAGGAGGGAAAGGAATAAGAGATGAAGGGCTTTATTGAAGACATGTTTAAAAGGTGAAATTGACAGGGCTTGATGTTTGGTAGGATGGGAGAGGGAAATGTCAGGTTTTTAGCTGCATAGCTGAGGGAATGATGATGCCATTCCCCAACCAAGGGCCCTGGGAGATAATCACTTTGGCTGAGGGTTGTGGTAGGGGTTCTGGGGGAATGAGGGATCATTAGTTCTGCTTTTTTTTTTGAGACAGAGTCTCAGGCTATTGCCCTGGGTAGAGTGCCATGGCGTCACTGCTCACAGCAACCTCAAATTCTTGGGCTTAAGCGATCCTCTTGCCTCAGCCTCCCAAGTAGCTGGGACTACAGGCGCCGGCCACAACTCCTGGCTATTATTTGGTTATAGTTGTCATTGTAATTTGGTGGGCCTGGAGTGGATTCAAACTGCCTGCTTGAGCTACAGGCGCCAAGCCCGTTAGTTCTGTTTTAAATGTATTGAATTTGAGGTGCATTTGAGACATCTAGTTGCTATCAAGTAGGCAGTGGGATATGTGGATTTATAGCTTAGAGAATTCTACAATCTACTTCTAGGTGATTCTTGAAATGTGAGCAGATGAGATTGCCTAAGGAAAGTGTACAGAGTGAGAATAGCTCCAAAGCACAGCCAGAGGGGAAAGCCTTAGATAGCAGAATGGACTAACTTCCAATTAAAGCAGAAGGAAAATGGATGGATGCAGGTACATAAATATAGGTTTGTATGTTTGTTTTCTGGAACATAAGAGTAGTTTGGCTCCGCACCTGCAGTTCAGTGGTTAGGGTGCTGGCCAAATACACCGAGGCAGGTGAATTTGAACCCAGCCCAAGCCTGCTAAACAACAATGACAACTGCAGCAAAAAAATAGCTGGGTTTTGTGGCGGGCATCTGTAGTTCCAGCTACTTGGGAGGCTGAGGCAAGAGAATTGCTTAAGCCCAAGAGTTTGAGGTTGCTGTGAGCTATGACACCCTGGCACTCTACCCATGGTGACATAGGGAGACTGTCTCAAAACAAAAACAAAGAAATTTGTAGGCTGGGTGATGTGAGTCACCCCTGTAATCCTAGCACTCTGGGAGGCCGAGGTGGGTGGATTGCTTGAGCTCACAGGTTCAAGATCAGCCTGAACAAGAGTGAGACCCC